TATGTATGTATGTATGTATGTATGTATGTATGTATGTATGTATGTATGTATGTATGTATGTATGTATGTATGTATGTATGTATGTATGTATGTATGTATGTATGTATGTATGTATGTATGTATGTATGTATGTGTGTGTATGTATGTACAGTGGGGGAAATGAGTATTTGACCCCTTGCTGATTTTGCAGGTTTTCCCACTTACAAAGAATGCTTATTTTTCCTCATCAGATGGTTATCAATTTTTATAAATTCATATGATGTGATTTTCTGGAATTTTCTTTGGGATTCTGTCTTTCACTGTTAGAATGTACATATGATTAAAGTTATAGATCGTTGCATTCTTTGTAAGTGGGCAAACCTACAAAATCAGCAAGGGCTCAAATACTTATTTCCCCCGCTGTATACACACAGGTCAGTTCTTCATATCATCTGCAGTAGTTCTGAAGACAGGATATTATTTAAGCTTGTTCTGTTCTGAACTCTTCGTTTGGTTATCGGCAGTTGGTTCCAGTGACATAATAATAATCTATAATGCACTGTGGATTTTAGAGAGTTTGTTCTGGGTCGAGGGAGTTTAATGTCTCCACCTCGTGCCCGCCTTGTTAAGTAATTATGATTTTATGAAGGAAGTTTTTTCTTGCCTGTGTCGCCTAGTGCTTGCTCATGGTGGGAATTGTTGGGTTTCTGTAATTAACTTCAGAGTAGGGTCTGACCTGCTCTGTTTGGAAAGCGCTGTGAGACAACTGTTGTTGTGATGTGGCGCTATATAAATAAAATTGAATTGAATTGAATTTTGTTCAATTCAATTCAATTTGTACCCCCACAGGTACACCATGGCGGCGCAGGACCTGGTGATGCGCGCCCGCGGGGTCCTGAGGGACCGCGGCTGGAGGATCGGCCCCGAGCGGCTCGGCTCCGGGGACGACATCTCCGTCTTCATCGTCCCGCTCATGTACGGCAACAGGCAGCTCTGACCCCGACCCCGACCCCCTGGGACCTGGAGAACCTCATCCAGAACCCGGAGAACCCCCTCCAAGACCTGGAGAACCCCCCGGGACCTGGAGAACCGCTGGTGCTCGATGCCTCTTAGCTGTTCCACTTGGGGAGAGAAGAGGAGTAAAGCCGGGCGGACACTGTGGGGTTTCTGCCCCATTTTGACACGATTGTTCATTTGTACGAGGAATTCTTGGATCAAGTTTCAGCTCCTGGCTAGCACAGACCTAAAACAGACCCAAACCGGCCAAAATGGACCAAAACTGGTCCAAAACGTACCTGAAGTAACCCAAAACAAACACAAACCGGTCCAAAATAGACCAAAACTGACCCAAACCAACCCAAAATGGACCTAAATTAGTCCAAAACTGACCAGAACTGACCCAAACTAACCCAAAAAGGACCTAAACTGGTCCAGAACTGATCAGAACTGGACCCAAACTAACCCAATCCAGCCCAAAACTGGTCCAAAACTGACCCGAACTTACCCAATCCATCCCAAAACAGACCTCACACTGGTCCAAAACGGACCCAAAACAAACACAAACCGGTCCGAAATGGACCAAAATTGACCCGAAGTAACCCAAAACGACCTAAACTAGTCCAAAACTGACCAGAACTGGTCCAAAGCCAACCCAAACTGACCCAAATCAGTCCAAAATAGGCCAAAAGGGACGATAAATTTCAAACAAAAACGTTCTTTTTTTTTGCATGTATTTGATCTTAAACCTCCATTTGCCGTTCGATTGGTCATTTCGAACCCTGCTTGTATTCCCTCTCATGTTGTTCGACTTTATCTTCTATTTCAAGTCCGACGTGCGTTTTTGGCCGTACGATTTGAGGTCAGATCTCATCGTGAGCTGTGACCTTTGACCCCTCCGATTTGGTTTGATTTCAGTTTGAGCTATGATTGGAAACATCTAACAGTGTTCGCCCGGCTTTAGTCAGTAAAGGGAGAGTTTCCTATCACAGCCCTCTCTGGTGGAGGCATTTCTCCTAAAATAAGGGCATGTTTGGATGCATCCTCCTCTTAGCCTAGCTTGCTAGCTTGTTGTGTTGTACTCGTCCTTTTTTTCCCTTAAAAACTCTGTAGTCTTCTCCTCCGATTACCAGAAATACCTCTTTCGTTTTGGGAACATGGACAAAGCTGACCGAGGTCGGCTGTTTTTTCTGTTTGCCACAGTGTGGCTCTGAAGGCCGAACAGATTAAGGTGGTGGTAGCATAGATGCTCATCTCCAAGAAGGAATGTTTCTTATTTGAGAAAAGAAGCTGGAGAATGGTTTCTTACCACCGACAAATGTTTGAGCAGAAAACCAGAGAACGGCCAGCAGAAGGTTTACTGTTACAGTACAAGTCATTTGATCAGGAAAACGTCTCATAATCAAGCTGTTTTTAAATTTTACATCTGTATTTTTTCTTTAATTTACACAAAAGTACCAAGACAGAAGAATGCCAATCTAAAATCTGTTAAAAAACCAGACCTAAAACCCCTTAGCTTAGCTTACTAGTTTACTTAACTCAACTTAATTCAGCATAACATGATAAACCAAAGTCAAATCTGGCTCTGCCCTGAAAATCTCTCTTTAAAACCTGTCAAGTTTCAGATGAATCATAATTAAGCTTTCAAATGTATTCTTCAAGTAGAGCAAGCCTGCTGTTTCTCCCTACTTTTGCTTTAATGCTAAGCTAAGCTAACAAGGATGCTGTTATATCCTTGTTAGCTAAAGTTAGAGGAAACTGTAGCTCTAAAATTGAGACCAGTAGTGTTTAATTATATATTGAAAATAACCACCTAAACTTAGTACAAAACAACAACAATATACCTCTAATTTAAGCTTTTTAAATATAAAATTACATGAAGAAAACCTCTTGTCTTAGCTTACCTTAGCCTGATGAGTGTAGCAGGAGGCAAATCTGTCATGGCCCAAAAATGACAAATATCCCCCTAAAAAATATGTGAAGTCTCTAATCATATCATAATTAACTTTAGAAACTTGCTTTAAAGTGGTGAAAGGCCACTGTTTATGTTTTCCTTCTACTTTCTATGCTAAACTAAGCTAACTAGGATTACTGCTACAATTTAAGCTAACTCAAACACAGTCTTTTCTTACCCTCTGAAAACGTTTTTATCTATAAATAGTGTTTAGTTATAGACCAAAAAGAACAAAATTATTATTTGTACACAGTAATAAGAGAATAAACACTCCCTCAGATGTTATTTAAACAAAGTTACAGATATAGAACAAATATCTTAGCCTAGCATGACGATTTAAACAGGAGGAAAGCAGATCTGAGTCAGCCCAAAAACAAATATCCATAAATATTTGGTAACTATGACCAATATTCAGTTGTAACATTTCCTGAGCTAAACAAGGTTGCTTGTTTCTTATTTTCCATTTAGCTATTTATGCTAATAGTTAACATGCTAACAAAATGTCAGTGAGGGTCTCACTTCTTGGTCTTTTGGTAAATAAACACATTTTTAAAAATGTGTGACAACACATCATTTTCTATTTTTTGTTGCTACACTAAACAAATTAAAGTTGAGAAATAAGAATATTAAAACAATGAAAACATGATCAAATGACTTGTACTTAGCTTAGTTGCACTTTAGAGACACGATATGTGGAAGAATGAAGTAGGAATGAATTACCTTTTCAGGGAAGATTGAATAAGTAATCATTAGTAAAACGGTTGAATACAATCAAGATTTAAAAGGGAAAACAAAAAAAAGTCAAAGCTGAGAGCTCTCTTTAGTTTAGCTGCATGTTTAATGAGCTTCAGCTGCTTTTAAGAAAACTCGTTTTGGCAAAAAAAAAAGGTGGAAAACCTCGTGTAGATGTCTGTGACTTCCTTTAGGCCTGAGATAAAAACAGTGGTTCAACAATTCAAAGGCTGTTTTATACGAATGGGTTTGTATTTATGTCATGTTTCAGAAAACCTGTGATTATGTTATCTGTTTGCAAATCTGCACATATTTATAAGGATGTTTTTCTTTAAGTGTTCTCGTAAATCTGGGCATTTCTTTCCATTGAGGACAGAAGACAACGTTAAACAAGAGACTGAAACAGAAAAGCTGAAATGGACATGTACAAAACTCATCTTTTTTACTTTTGTTTAGTGTCCCGAAGACCAACAGCTGCTGGAAATCACCAATAAATCTATGAGGAATGCCTATTTATCTGATCTATAAAGGACGCAGAGCGACACAATTCCTGAAAATTACAGGAATTATGTGAAAATACATCTTAAAAATGAAAAGAGTAAAAAGGATCTGGGCTCAGAAAGGAGCCACAGAGCTCACAGGACTTAAATCTGGAGGTTTTGGGGCTTAAAGTGTCCATTTTAGAAGCAGAGCTTCATTAAAAGCATCCAGATTTTAACAGGTCTGCTGTCATTTAGTGGAACAGGAACTTTTAAAGCAGTTAAAGCAGTTATTTGATCCATTTCAGGACTCATTTATCAGACTAACTTCCACCAGACAGAAGGTGGAATTAGTTCTGCTTTCAGACATTTAGCAGCTATGGAGCTGCTAACGGGAGCTAATGCATGTTTTACCTTCCTACTGTGGCTGGAAGTGTATATCTTATGTTTACGTTCCTATCGTGGAAATGTAAAATTTCAATGTTACTAAGGTTTACATTTAAATGTTAATACGTTTTCCTTGTTCATAAAATGTAGCAAAGAAAATCAGTCTCTTTAGCAGCTGTGGGGTCACAGCTAGCAGCTACCTTAGCTTCTTTAGCTTAGCGCAAAAAACAGAAAGAACCTGCTGTCAAGAGTAAATATTACTTTTGGAATACTGTACACTAAAAAGAAATGTATGAATACATCATTAAACTGCTCATTTATTTGTGAGGGATAAAAAAAAAGGAGAAACTATTGCAGCCAAAAAAATCACAGAATCAACTCTGTGCTAGGCTAGGTAGCTAATCTGCTAGCTAGGCTAACGGGTGGCTAAAACTCCATTTTATTCTGACGTTTATTCTGGACTATTAAATTAATATTTATTAATTATTAATATTTCCCAATATTTAAAGCTTTTAAATAGCTTTTAGCTGCACATTTATTCCATTTTACTAGCCAATAACTTCTAAAAAGAAGGCATGTTCCTCAGTTATTCAGCAGTTTATCTTCCTGTTTGAGCCTTTTTCTCGTAGATGAATGTAGAAAAACTAATAGATGGATTCCTTTGGTCCCTCGGTGCCCCCCGGCTGCTGCATGTGAACTCAGGTTAAACTGTCCAACCTGAGGTGGGTTTTTATCCCATTTTGAGGTTCGTTACCTTCTTTATATTTTCTGTGCGGGAAGCTCGTCGACGTCTTTGACTTCATCCTCGTTGTTGTTTTTTTTTTTTTGCCGTTTGTTCAACATTAAGACTCCGAGGTCGGACTATGAAAATCTAATTTTATGTCCAGTAGCAGAGACCATTAAAGGTTCAGCTGTGGTTGTTTGAAGTGGCCCTCCATCTTTCTGAGACGTTCATTTTATAGAGCAAAACCGGTAATGGAGTCTCGGAAATATTTTTGATGTTTTCATGAGCAACTCCGACTTCGGAAGGAGGAAAAACAATGTTTACGTCCCGTGTTTCTTATTCAGAAATGTAAAAAAATGAAGACAATAAATGGTGAAAATGACAAAAAGCAACTTGTTACTAATACATTTTTTAAAAAAGGCTTAACTGGACGTGTTGGAAAGCTTGAGTTGGGAAACAAATAAATTGTTCCAGCTAATTTTTTCCTTTTTTTTTAGCTTTAAACCTTTTTAACGTCAATTAGCTTCACATTTGGTCAAAGTTTTGTTTAAAAAAATAACTAATATATGGAAACACTTTGGTACTTTTACCTTCTTCTACATTCATCACCCCCTACAGCACACATTAACAGTGGGTGTTCTTTAAAGACATTTTCTAAAGCTAAAAGGACCCTAAAAGCATTATATTAACATTTATTTATTAAAAACAAACAACTTTAAGTCCAATAGTCACAAATAAAGTCAAATATAATAATAATAAGAGAAGAAAAGCAGACAGAAGAACGGTTTAGTCTCATTATGACGTGTTTTAGGCCCTGTCTTTACTTTGGAGAAGGGTTGTCAAAAGTATCGATAATTAAAAAAGTATAGATACTAAAATGTTGTCGGATACGATACTCATTTTCGAAAGTATTGATACCACCGCACCCCCTTCTCTCAGATTTATTTATGTATTTATTTAGGTTGTTTATGATCATTAACAAGACGTTAGCCTTGAATTGCTAGCTGCGGCTAATGGCTAATTATAACACGCCAACAGTAATCAAGCACATATCCAACTCCGCCCACATCCAATCGGCCATTTTGATTAGGTCACCAATAGGAAGATCCCAGGCAATAAAATCCTAATTGCTTCATGGCAATATAGACATTCATTTAAAAATAGTGAAATGAATCTTGCAAACACTGAATTAAACTCTATCCATAATATTATGTTAAAATAGTGGATGTTAAATAGGTTTGTACAATAAGTCCAAACAAGTTTAACCTAATAATATTTATTTCTCACAATTATGAAGGGTGGAGGGTTAGGTTTAGGGTTAGGGTTAGGGTCAGGGTTAGGGTCAGGGTTAAGATAGGTTTAGGGTTAGGGTTAGGGTCACGGTTAGGGTTAGGGTTATGTTTAGGTTTAGGATTAGGGTCAGGGTTAGGTTTAGGGTTAGGACATTGTTTGTCTTCCGATTTCGTACAGACAGTAAAGTTTCGTTTCCACCTCAGAAAGCTGCTAGTCACATGACCTAATCAAAATGGCCGACTTGGATGTGGGAGAGTTAATCCTAATCCTTCACATCTGCTCCGTTGATTTGTTTATAAAAACAAAAAAAATATCACAGGAATAAATAAACATAAAACTAAGAAAAAAAGCAACAAAACAGCAGATAAACAGCAGAAATACACTTATTTAACCCCTATATAAGCTGTTTTTGTCCTTTATTTAGATAAAGATAAACAGGACAGGAGCCGGTGGACGCTTTACGCAGCTTTATTGACGTTTGTGTATAAATACACATGCACATTTCAAATGTAAACCCAAGTGAACTCAAGTGCAGCCAAACCTCCAAAACCCCCAAAACTTCATGCAGTTTTTCCGTTTTTCTTTTTTATTACAAAAAAATCAGTCCCGAAACCACAGATTCCTCCTTTAAAAAAACAAAAACAACAGAAAAAATAAGCCTCCCTCCCCGACTTTTGTCCGCCCGCTTTAAATAGAACGTCTGTTTATTATTAAATGCTTACATATAAATAAATAAACTTTATCAAATGTGCACTCACAGAGTGAACTCTTCTGTACAATAAGCTAGAAGCCGCCCAGCTCGCCGCTCAC